GAGCAGACACCCTAGCATGGGAGTGAAGGATGCCTCCCATCTTCCCAGGCTCAGTTTCCCTTTGCTTTGGTATACTGATAAGCAAAAGAGGGCTCAGTGTGGCACTAAAAAGACTTTCCCTTAAAAAAAGTCAGTTCACTATAATAAGTGAAATTCTTACTTCCTAGTCAGTAGTGAATTGCTAAGGGATGGTGGTGTTTGGTTTGTTTATTGTGCAGGAATGCCATATTCTTATGTGGGCAATATAAAATCTCTGCTCTTTAAATTTCCTGACATTACAGTTTTTCTTCCTGTCATTTTTAAGGGATTATATAACCTTTTCTCAGTCCCAGATTCCAGATAAAACATTTCTTTGAAATCTAGTTAAAATAACAAAAGAGAAAAGGATGATAAGAAAGCTTGTGAAGAGCAATACAAAGTAAATCTCAGAGATTAACTGAGCGTCACCTCCTCCTCTCCACAGATCAGTGCTGGCTGCCAGTGTGCTCATCTTTTTCTTCAGTGTTCACTGCCTCCCTTCCCTCTGTGTCCTTCTCTTTCCTAACAGAATGGCTCAGTCCGCAGGCCATTCGACGAGGTCCAAAACCAGAGCGCCTACACCATCTGTGATTAGGGTAAGTGGGAAACTGTCTGAGTCAATGGAGCCGTGACCACGGAGCACCCAGAGCCAAACAGCAGGGATGCAGCCTGAGAAGGAGGGCAATGCCACTCAAGTGGCGGCCTCATGCAGACGGAAGGGCACAGCCCAAGCTGGGGCTGAGGATGTGCTAGCAGGGGAAAGGGTGGGCATGGCACTCAGTGGAAAGGCATCTGAGGGCTGGACACAGCTACATTCAGGGAGTGAGAAAGTAAGCACACAGATCGGGAATCATGGGAGCCAAAGCTTCTCACTGCTGGTCAAAGGAAATATTATCCATGTGTAGTTAGAGTGCATAGTCTGTCTGTCTGTATGTATATATGTCTATCTGTAACTGCATGCAGGCCTCGCCTTTGTGGAATGACATCCAATGGCAAGGAACACCTACTGCTCAGACCTTGCCTCTGTGTGATGTTCTCCACTAAAGAGAACCAGGGCTGCTAGGACACATGGCTGAGTACAGAGCTGGGTCAAGGAAGAACAAAGCAAGCCTGAAACATTGTGTGGGGCTGGAAACCCAGGGAGAGCCTAGAAGATGACAGGGCATGTCCAAAGGGACAGAAGCCGGGTCGATGGGTGCACCCTTGGCAAGTCTGAGGCACCACAGAGGCACCTAAAGGAGCAGCGATGGTCAGGGGAACGGCCTATCGGATAAAGTAGAAAACACAGTCTTTATTCACATAAATAAGTGAATAACTAAAAGTCAGATAGAAACAGGAACATGTGCCTCTTTTTAAAGTATCTTCCCATAAAATGTGCGTTGAAAACAAAGTAGAAAGCCTGGTGGACAAATGAACATCACAGCAAACAAGGCAGAGTGTCACCTTGTGTCACTTGATAAACTTCAGGAGGACACAGACAGCACTGAAGATTCAGGCTCCAACGCAGAACCTGAGTCTTTACCAGGCAACATCAGGCAAGTCAAGAGGGAAGACTATTCGTACCTGAAAGGACCTTCGGTTTCCAAAGGGGTGAGGATTACACACACCTTAGGAAGACTAAAGGGCCATTCTAGACCGAAGCGCAGAGCCTTGGGAACACACTGCCAGGTGTGACTGCAAGCTGGGCCTTCGCCCTGTGTGAAGCCCTGGATGGGTCCAGCTACAGGAATGTGCATGGGTTCTGAGAATCAAACCGCAGGATCAGAGCAAGGCAAACTTCCCCAGTTTGACAGAAGCTGTACAAATCTACAAGCAAAAGAAACAAACTGTAGAAAATTCAAAGCACTGGGGTGATGGGACAGAAAACTGGGAACTTAGCTTGAAGTGGTTGCATGGAAGAATAATTCTATGACTGCTATTGATAACTTGGAGATTATTTCAAAATAAAGGTTACAAAATGAATTGCGGTTATTCTTAAAAATTTAACATGAATTAGGGAAAAACATTTAAATTTTCAATTATTAACTAAATTCCCTCCATAAAGACCTCTTTCAGCCAGAGAAAGCATTGCATTTTAAGGTAGGTACTGGCAAAGGAAATTTTCTGAGAAAGATGAATTCAGTTTCGTAGTAAAAGACAGGGAACAAAACTGCCCAGAGCCAAACAGCAGGGACTGACACTAAGTCAGTATCTGAAAACTCAGGAAGTACCCATGATCTCAGCGGATCACCACTGTGTGAAAACACACAAGGACACAAAATGGCTAATGTGTACTTGTGCTAAACACAATGCATGCATTTGTGGTGGACTGGAAGTCAGAAAGATGCTAACCAGCACACACAGACAAGCACTCTCTTTAGACCAAGCCAGTAATCCTAACTCTAACCCTAACCTTAACCTTAACACTATTATTGCTGTAATCAATAATATCACTACAATACAATCACCACAGTCATGACATACTCATTTATTATTTTCATTATACGATATACTACATTATTATTTTTATTCACAGGGTGCACAAAACTTGTTCGATTTTTCTCCCCCTGCAAGCCAGTGGTACTTTTAGATTATATTTACAGAAATGGCCAATAGTAGTAAAGGCTCTTTTCATATTTCAATGTTTACCTACAAACCTCCTATTTTACAGCAGCTGGCATATTCCATTTTTCCCAGCTATTGCAATGGTTATGAAATTATTTCTGAAGGCAAAGGAAACAGACAACATGTTCTTTTCAATGTTATTCTTAAGTGAAATGCTATAGAGTAAAGCATTTTTATCTTTTTTGCTAGGCGAAAATTATCTTCTCTTCAGGGTCTGTAGACATGAAGTACTTTTGTTTGTTGGTTTGGGAAACTGAGTAAATAAAAGTTTGGGGTTACATTCTTGTCCATTTTTTATTAATATAAGCAAATAAAAATAGACCTAGAAAACTCCAACTGACTACAGAGTGTGATAACCTAGAATACACCAAGTTCTTTGCAAAGAACTTACTTTTTCCTCTTATTTTTAACCCTGTCTGACTTTGTGAATGCGTATTAAATCTCATCCAAGATTTTTTCTATCACATGTGCACCAGCAAATGTTCCATTTATCCAGGAAGGAGGTAGAGAGATAGGTACAAAATGTTCCAGGATCTGCCCATGGGGTCCCCTGAACCGCCAAAGTGCTGTGAGGTGGGAAAGGGGTGAAGGTCCCGTCTACGTCTACGGAGCAGTGAGAGGGTTCTCACATTATTTGCAGAATGTAAAGCCACTGAGGAGACTGCTTTTGTTGCTACTGGAAAACCACACCCACCATCCTGACCTGGGTGGACCACTACCTGCAGCTGTGCTCGCTGGCTCACGTGAAGGGAAGGGTGGAGTTTATGGAAGAAAGGGGGATACTCCATGAGTCCCCTCTATGGTGAAAAGCAAGAAAAATCTGGGGCAGAGATAACATGCAAAGGAACATCTCTGACACACCCTCGTGGGCACAGCCAGATGTTCTCTCCAGTAGAACGGTGGCTGCCAGAGGCTAGGATTTTAGAGAAACCAGGAGAGGTTGGCAAAGGCTAAGCAGCGCAGTTGTAAGATAAACAGTTTCTAAGTCCTAACGTGCAAGATGATCATTATAATTATTACCCAACGCACAGCAAATTGTTTAGAAAAGTACAATTGTCATGGTTAAGTTAGATACTTTAAAATGAACATTTCACGTTCTGTTATTCATTTGCTTAGTTACCGGTCATGCGCCCTCTGTGTCACAGGTTACTGGAATTTATCAAGTGGAACACATGGAAAGCAGTATGTTTTCTCTGCTTCTCTGTCTCCCCGAAGTGGTGCTTCCTAGTAATCCCTGAACAAGCTTCTGTGAAACCCCATGCTTGGTGTAAAATTAAAGATCGCCTTTACACTCCATGTGGACACAGCACACTTGTGCACACAGCCCTCTTCAGCTGTTCTTCTTGAACATGATCCTAGGAGATGCGTGTTGAGAAAGCGGAGCCCTCGAAAGCTTTCAAACCACAAGAGCTTACAACAAGCTCAAGGGGAAGCCTCCAGCTTCATCTCAGGTTTCCAAATGAAACATCCTATCAAGTGCATGAAAAACTGGTTTCCCAGGTGCTGTAGGGCTCAGAGGACTCTGGCCTGAAGCCCCCTTCTAGCACCAGCAGCATAGCACAAGGCTAGAGCATTTACCTCTCATGAATAAGGAAGACCACAGGTTCCATGTCCAGGAGACGAAAAATAAAAATGAACATAAAATCCATTTTCCAAAGGCTCGATGCTGTTCAGAGCTGTAACTCTCAGCCTCACTACATTATAGGCCATGGCCACAGCTGTTATGGCTGATCCCAAAGGAAAAGAAAACAGACATTTTATAGGTAAAAAGAGAGAGGCCGTTAGGAACAACTCCAAACTGCTGACAGTCATGTTTATTAATTTTCATAAACAGAAATCAAATAGCTTTTAAAATGCTTTTAACTAATTAAATAGAAAGGTTTCTGTGAAATGCCATTTATTACTACAGCAAGAGCTGCTTTCACAGCATTTTGAGAAACCATATTTTTTCAGTGTCCACAGACCCGCCAGGAGATTGACAAGTAGAGAATTTTTTGTCCACTGTAAGGAGGCAGGTGGGGAGAATTATAAAATTGATTGTATAAATTTTCAGTCTAAAAATAAGAGTGCTAAATTATAATACATGGAAGCAATGCCTTTAAACTATCAAAAGCCTTATCACCATTCAGCAATCAGCAAAGTGCAGGTGCTGCACCCAGTTTTCCTGGTAGCAGTGTTCCCTGCCCTGCGGCTAGTGGCACAGTGAGGGTAGATCCCACCTATCGAGGCTGGCTGGGGCTGGGTGACAGTCAAGGACAATGACACGAAGCAGGCAGAAAGGAGCGGCCAGATCCACACCCTGGAAGGAAACTGGCCCCTCTTCACACCCCTGAAAGAATGTGGAAGGTCATCAGTCCTCCATGCAGAGAGAAACCCACCTGCCAGACCAGGTGTTCCTTGGCCCCCGGGGTTGCAGACAGGCAGACGCTCAGCACAATGGTGTGGGAGGAGGAGGTGAGGACGCTGGCGATGATGGCATCCCTCATGTTGAAGGGCAGCATGGTGTACACCACGAAGATGATGAAGAGGAAGAAGGACACCTGCAGTGAGGAGAAGAACATTAGAGTCACAGAGGACCTGGGCTCCGAAGGGCTCCCCCTTCCTTCCCATGGAAGGCTGCGGGGAGCAGCAGGCTCACTGAGGATGGCATGCTGAGACACACCCAGGGGGGAACACAGTTTTGTGTAAGACTGTAGGACACTTGGGTTTGGTTTCCAAGCCACTGCAAACATTACAGGTAAACTGATCCCTGAGCAGGTGGAGATGCAAAGCTGGTCTTAAACTATCAGTGTCTGGAGTCCGTGCTTTAGGGTTAGTAAAGGCAAGTGCACAGCACATGGGTGTAGATGGCTCAAAAAGAGAAGATCTGGGCAGATGAGGCTGAATCTAGAATAGCTATAAGTCAGCAATTCCACTCCTGTGCATACACCCCAAAGAACTGGAAACAGGTACTCAAACAAACTCAGGTACGCATATGTTCATTACAACCCTGCATCAGAGCAAAAAAGCAGAAACACAAATGTCCATGGAGGGATGAATGGATAAACAGCAGCAGGCACATTCCTATAAAGGAACGGTCCTCAGGCATACAATGGAATACAGTACCAATCCCCGCTATGGTGTGACTGAACCTCAAAAATATTATCCTGAGTGACTGCGGGTTGGGCAGAAGACCCCATCTTATAGGATCCCATTTAGACAACGTGTACTCAATACATTCAGAGACAGACAGCAGGTTCATAGCTGCCAAGGTCTGGGGTTGGCTAGGTGGTCATGGAGCAGAGTAACTGCTTAATTAGTACAATTTGCAGAGTGGGGTGAGGAGAAAGGTTTGAAGCAGATAGAGGGGCCGGTTCCACAATATCAAAAACATACCTCATGCCACTGAATTCTTCACTTTAAAATAGTTAATTTATGTCATATGAATTTTACCTCAATAGAAACAATTAGTATGGAACCACTTAGAGGAAGGTCTGGAATGGAAAAGAAAATGTTCCATAATTACTAAAATGGGTATTTCATTACCAAAGAAGCAGAGATGAAAGCCCATCAAAATGAATCAAAAGGAGATATGCCCAGCAGGGAAGGGACTGAGGTAAGCGAGGCAGGCAACTGGTGCTGGGGACTCTTTGCCAGTCACTCCAGGGCAGAAGTGAAGGTAAGGAAGGTGATCCCCCCGTCACAGCCCTGTGCTGCTTGGAGGAGACACTAAAGCCCAGCACAGCTGAAGGGCACAGTCCTGGCACAAGTCCTGGTATCAGGTCCTGAGCATGACCTGGTGTAAGGCTGACCTCCAGATAGGTTTATAAAGAGTGCCTCCCAGAGGATACCAGGCTTGGTCCCATTCCCGTGATCAGGGGACAAATCTATCCCCAGAAAGCAATGGTCTATTGCCACATCACAACTCCAGGGTGATATCTTACAAGCTTGTAAGCATTTGTGTAACTGTCACAGGCAAACAAGCACATGGGATCTGGAGTAGTCACAGCCCCCAAGTACACTTGGGTGCCACCACACTCACAAATGCTATGAGCTCCCATGGAGGCGGCAGGTTCTGGCTGTGGGTGTGCACGGCAGGATCCTGGTTCTTGGGGACTTTGTCAGCCAGGTGGACAGGGCCATGCCTGCCCACTGCTGTCACCTTTCAGCTTCCCCATTCCCAAGGCCCCGTCTGAGAGACCACGAGGTGCCCTCCAAACCATCTTCTCTTTGTTGCAAGTTTCACCACTTTAGAATGGTGGCCAAGAAGAAAGTCACCAGGTGTAGGCAGAATGACCAGAAATCCTCCACAGCAAGCTGGGGTTCCTATGGACCATCTGCCTCAAGCCCCCGTTTCCTCCCCTTCGATCTATATTTATGAGGGCCCTCCGGCCAAGAACTGTGGGTGAACTCATTACCATAGCAATATATTTTTTTCCTGGCAAATATTTTCTTTTCATCTCTTCAAAATAAAAGACTATGAAGATGTTTGGGCATAAAGCATCATCATGTGTATTTTCAACTTGTTCCATTACGTGCATGGAATGTGAATCCAAAGTTTCCGACCCCCAAAAACCTCTCAGATGGTTTCTACATCAAGATGCAGAGTGGAGATGAAGAGACCACCAGCTCTGCGTGGGGCAAGGTGCCATTTCATGCAGGGGGCAGGTAATCCCCACAGCAGGAAGGAGCGCCATCCTCACACATCTTCCTAAGCAAGAATGTGCAGAAAGACTTCTTGGAACTAATCATCCTATTTCCAAACCACTAATAAGCAGGGAGGGTATTCCCTGAGTGCTTGCTGCCTGGGCCCTTCCCAGCTTGTCACAGGGCCCTGGAAGAACTGCCGAGCTAAGGATTCATTAGGAGGGAGAAAAACAATGGCTGCATATCCCCAGCATATCCAGGAAACTGAAATGACTTTGGAATACCATCCACCAAATTAGAGGAGATATTTTCAACGAAGATACTGTTATTTCTGCACATGGCGCAGATGCAAAAACCTGTGTCCTACAAGAGGACTTGGTCCGGGGATAGCACTGTAATGAGCTTCAGGCTCAGCCCATCCTGCAGATGACCTCCCCGGCCCAGAGATACAGGAAACCTGGCCAGTGACTTATGGTCGCCAATATCAGAGCTTAGCATGAGCCCTGGGTTCTAATCTTCAAGCTTTTCTTGGTATGAAGCTCACAACATTTCCCTCATCTTCTAGATACAAATCTGATTCTTTAGAAAAGAAGCAAACCTTCAGCAAGAAGGCGTGAGAAGGCACGAGGGCACACTGATCACTTCTGAGAATGCTGACACGCACGTCTGGCACCCAGCCGTGGGCCTCAGGTCCTGCGTTCTCTCTGTGCACACCCACTTCATTTTTACTAGTTATTTCAGCATCGCTAATATTTCAAAGACACATTCCTCTGCTTTCATCTCTATACATGTGACTTCTAGTGTGTGCTTATTAGAATAAATAATAATAATCTGGAGTGAGCATTTATCAAAATCATGAGTTAAGGGAACAGTTGTTAAGAAATAAAAGCCAGGAGTTAAAGCAGAAGTTTTGTGTTTTAAATGTTGATGATCAGCACAGATTCAGTTGAACAGGGTGGCGAGACCTTGGCATGGGTGACATCTGGGGTGGGATAATTCTCTGTCCTGTGAATTGCAGTGTGTGCAACAGCAGCCCTGGCTTCCATCCTTGAGATGTAACAATTGCACGTTTTTCTTGTAATGCAAACATTGTTAGCACCTTTCGAAATTATCGTAACTTTTGAACAGCCTAGTTTAGGGCAGCTTCATGATTCTAAAATTCTAACATCCTTTCCATTATACATGTCTTCGCAAATGCTTTGTGCTTTGAAGTGGAAGCTCATTGGCAGCCTTATTAATAAAATTCAGACAGAGAACAGACCTGCAGCTTCCTGAATACAGGAGTTCTTGAGAAGTGCTCACTTGTGGATGGCAAAAAGGATTTTCTAAAGGTTAATTAAGCAAATTGCATTAAATCAAGTTCAGGGCTTCGGTGGCAGCATCTCAGAAATTAGGCTATTAGTACCTGAGCAGTATCTGCTGTCAAGACTGGACGACTTCATTTCAAATCCAGTGGGTGAAATGTCCTTTGCAACTTATTAATCTCAGAAGGATGTAAACTGTTAATCCTGCTTTCCAATGCAACTTCAAACAGTGCTGTACATAAGACTGAAATGCATTTGGTGCATCTGAGGAATGTAAGTAAAAGGCTCCACAAAGTCTGATGCATCTCTAGGTTTTCCATGTTACCATGGGGACACGAATTCCCCTACTCTGGACCTCTCTGTCCAGAGGCTGAGCAAAGGAGTCACTGATCAGCTCTCTGGACCCTGCCTAGGTTCTCCTAGGCTGACGGAAGGGCAGCATCTGTCCCACCACAGCACTTCCCGGTGTGTCACCTTGTGCCAGCCTGGTGTCTGCCTTTGGCAAGATGTACATCTCCTCCCTCTGAATTCCTATGGAACCTGCAGCTGCACGAGTACCTAACCAAGAGCTTGCCTCTGTGTGTTTCTGAACATGTTCATCCCGCAGGGTAACCCATTTCTATTCAGGATGGCTCATCTTCCACTCACCTGGATGTAAACCACTGAAAGTCCCCTCTGCAGAGCCCTCCTTCACATCCTTGCTCAGACACTGTCTTCTGACCCGGGTCTCGAGCACGACTTTGCCCCTGCTCACGTTTCCTCCCACTAAGCTGGGTCTGTCTTTCTATTTCAAAAGAGGTACGCTCTATCATCTCTGCCTCCCTCCTCTTCCCTCTGCCCCTCAACTCAGAGTGTAACTCTCCATTTGTGTCCATCCTTTCTCCGTGTCTTGAGTAACTCTCAGGATCCCTCGGACCACAGGGTACAGGTTTACTTCAACACCTTCCTTTCAGTGCGTTCAGGATCCATAGAATGTTCTGCCAAACAAAATATGAGTAGCAAGGCTCCATCCTTTTCAGGTGGAAACCTTAATTGCATAACTTGCCACGTCCTCTTCCTTCCTTGACGATCACTGGATTGGCATTGGAGCTCCTCCAGGGGGGGGGGTCCCCGGTGAGAAGCAGAATCCCTCAGTTTGGGACCGATAAGCTCTTACTGGGTTCAGCCCAAGTCCCTAAGCACAGCTCATGCAGCTCTGGTCCTGCCTGATAACCAGGTCTTCTTCATTCACAGTCTCTGTCTCTGTCTCTCTCTCTATCTGTAGATTGTTTTTCATCACTTAACTACACAGGGTACAAATCTTTTCAAGTCTACAGATGTGAATGTCCTATTTTTTCCTAAGCACTACATTTCCTAAAGCATTCCGTGGTAACTATTTCTTCATGCTGACTGCTCATGGTGGCACAGGTGCCTCTTTATTGACTGCCACTAACTCTCTCACTTTCCTGTTTGCTGATTGCTAATACTCTCTCTCACCTCCCTTGCTCCACCAATCTCCTTTCTCTAATGCACCCAGCATACTACTTACCTGTCCACTATTCCTGTTTCTGAATGCACAGGTCTAATACTCTTTCCCTTGGATGACCATCTATTCTGGTTAGACCAGAGAA